GGTCCTCCCAATATCTCCAAATTGCGTCTAGCCGCTCTACAAAATATCCGTTCCTATCCCAAAACTTTGAAGAACTCGACTGCAACTACGAGCAAAAATAAGCATCATCGTGTCTATCGGTTATTTTCCGATATAAAATTCGTTACATCTAATTAAGTGTGTCATGGTTGACCGCAGTCTATCGTTACGTCGAGTACGCGAATTTGCGTGCGTCCGAGATTCGCATAGCGATTTCGAATAAGAAAGAAATTCCGTCGCTCGGTATTAACACCCCAAAGTTGCTTATCGTGCGAAGGGACGTAAGAAGAGAGCTTTTTCTTCACTTAGATTAGCTTAGTGCGCGACCGATCGTTCGATGCATCGCTCTTCGTGGCGATTTCGAAAGCGATTCGTCGATTCTACGCTACAGACGTTACGTGGCGACAAAGCGACTTATTGTCGGTTTGATAAAGAATCAATTCACAGAAACTCGTCGTATTCTAAGAATGAGTCTCGAACTAGCTTCGAGATAATGTAGTTACTGCAAAAATCCAACAAATGTCTTCTAGATGTCCAAAGAATATGCGCGTCTTACAGACATCTAAGGAACATTTTACAGATTAGCACATCCTTTAAAAATCTAATAGATTCGTGAAAGATTAACACGCACGCCTCTTACGTCCATTTCAACCGATGTAGATTAACTTTAATCTTGGTTTAACTTACTTATACTTTTCTAATTCTTAAAACTAGAAAAAGATAAAAAATCAACTAAACCGAGATTAAAGTTCATTTACGTTGGTAGAAATAGACATTAGACGTCTAATGGAAGTTTAAAAGATTAGTATCTTCTTCAGGCGTCTTTGCGACGCATTTTTCAGATACCTACATGTATCATCTGAAAAGCATGTTGAATTCTTTGTTCGTTTGGTATTCAATAAGTATCGCTATTAAACCTAAATCCTAGTTTCGTTCCGAGTTTTGATTTTAATCCTTAACTGGGGAAGGTGGGGGGAGAGTTCAAATAATATCTGGATAATCTGCCATATGAAATTATTTGGAATTTTTAATTCAATTAAAAAATTAAATTCTTTTTCAAGAGTTTAATTATTTTATTGAATTAATATTAATCTATTTGATTTAATCTATCAAGCTATTTTTTAAATCAATTGTTTAAAAGCTGGATAATCAGTAAAACCATATAGTCAAATCAGTTAAGGATTATTGATTGATCAGTTCGCGTGTCGAGTTACTGACACTCGCGAACACTTCGTTCACGCTAAAACCGAAGCGGCCGAGCAAATTCTAATCCAGTCCTCACGATTGGGAGGCGAGAAGAGTCGCGTCGGGCTCTTCGTCTGTCTCTGTCTCGGAGCACATCTCGAGTGCATATCCGTTTCCGAGTTTCGAGCACATCCGTCGCTGTTACCTCGCTCGCGGCTCATCGTCACCTCTTTCCCTCTCCCTGCGCGGGAGGGAGACAGACTCCGGACTCTTTCGCCAGGCGATCTCACGAATTAGATAGTCTGGCGCTAAGCAGGCACGTGGTTCGGCATGCTCGAGGACGTCTGCAGGGGTGAGCGTGTCTGATGGAACCTCAGCAGCTCGGACACGGTGACCGCGACACGTACAACCCCGCGACCTCCCTCCAGGACGTCGCTGGCGCAGCATACGAGATTCTGAAAAATCAGTAAAAAGCACATACGTTTTTTTAGCACCTCTGTTTTTCTGTCGCGCAGAAATTGTCATCTGTCTCGAAAATAAAAATGTGAAAATACATATAAAAAGAAAAAAATGCCTAAAAAATATATAGAAAAAAGCTTGTTATTCCTTTTAAGTAGCTTTACGGCATGTTTTTAGATAACTGTATTGTATCGAAATATTCTAGGCGAGATAACGAAAAATGTGTTTATCTCAATACAACACGCGTATCATGCGAATAAAAATAGAATACCGCGAATCTCTTACCCATGATCAGTATAAATGTCGAAAGTATCTTATCAGACGTGCGTCGGGTGATATCAGAAGCCGGATGGTAAAAACCCGATCTTAAGCGGGAAACGTTTGAATAATATGCGGATACATAAATGTATGAATCGAGAGAATAAATCTTTCATGAAATAGAGACAAAGGCGAGACTATATAGATAGTGCCTGAACACGCATAAAAAAGAATGCAAGGTCGAACTCAGTTAAGAAACACAAAGATTTTTTGAGAATATTGAAAGAAATGATAAAAATAATAATAATTTAAAGTACATTAAAAAATAAAAATTATCTTGCAAAAAGTGTAAAAGCGTCGAGTTTGTGAAAAATATAGTGGAGTAAAGAAATGAATATTGCAATTTTCCCCCAATTAGTTGTATTCCATTAATGAGTGAGCGTAGAATTTTAAGAAAAGGATATTTTATTACAAATGGCTATAGTATTACAATCATTATGTTTTTTTACCCATACAATCAATGTTACAGAGTATACCTCAAAGGAGAAAAAAACAAGGTCGATGATATCGCTGTCGTCCAAGCGGCGAGACAACTAAAGAGATTCAGTTCTTGGTCGATCGATTCAGCGAAAATCGAAGGAAAGATGCGATGATTGTCTTTTCGCATTACCGTATCGCCGCTAGGACCGTTCCCTTTAATAATGAAGCGTCAGGGATGGCGGACAAGTGTCGTACATAACACATCGTTTTATAAATAAATTAAATATGAAAGACAGAAAAACTAAATACACATTGTAAGACTTGCGAGATACGATATCTGTAAATACGACGATCTATGGATCGTGCGATTCATGTAAATTCGCGCGTTTACATTGGTAGCTCAATTGTAATCGTTGAACGGCGATGCTTCGGATCGAATCGGGTCGAATAATTGCACTCGTCGAAATTAGGCAGTATTTGGCTGATAAATGCACGTATTTCCTGATTACGATAAATACGATTTTACTTAGAAATTCGATTCACTCTCAAATCACTATTAGATTGTTGTTATTATTCATCTTGTAATGCAGCAAGAGTGAATGATCTGTGAATTAATTCGAAAAAACTAGATATTAAATAATTATCAATAATAATTATTTAAATTACCAAATAATTAATGAGTTATTAAATTAACAACACATCTAATTATATTTTATATTACAAATTTTATGTTACAATAATTTATGTAACAATACATCAATTTTTAAAAATTGTTCCTTTCTCCCTTAAAATTGGGAAGCTTAAGAAGTCTAAGCGGACATATTTAAACAAAATTTGATAACTCACTTCAGAAAAATCTTTGCAAATACCTACTAATAGTTTGATTTTAAAAAAAGTTCTTTTTCTTGTAATAAATACTGAACATTAATGAACAATCACGATTTCCAATAAAATGTGGAAATTAAACCCGACTCGATCGAAACAGCACAAATGCGTTGTGCGTATCATGCGTTTTTTCGAGATCGGTTTACGCTGAGCGCTTTGTTACACGCAAAGATCGCGTTGGAACGAGTCGATCGTGCTGAGCTGGTCGATCCTGAGGCCACCGCTTAGGCCACATATCTATTCAGAAAGAAATTTATTGTCTTGAGCTCGGCAGATATGATCGATCGTGCAAGTGTTGAAGCGTTTAAAGAGACGCCGCGTAGAATAAATATAGATATGTATATAAATAGACACGAGAAGCTTTAGCAGCTTAAGGAAACAACAACGGACGAAAGTACACCAAGCACCAAGTGGATTTAACGAGCTAGTGAATAATTTAATTGACTTACATACGTTAACGCTAACGTAAAAAAAAAGAAAAAAAACAAAAGAAAAAAGATCAGAAACGAACTAGCTTCAACGAACTATATATCTGTTTTCATATAATATATCTATCTCTCTCTATACATATATATTTCTGCATATATATAAGCTTTCTCTCTTCGCGTACTTTACAAAAATTATACATAAGCTAAACGCGCAAACGGAATGATTTCGTATTTTTCTCCCCCTTTAAGTACCTTTTCGTCTCGCAAATATTTTTAATAGCGATGTAGCCTCTTGCGAAAGCGAAAATCTATTGGTAAAATTTCAATGCTACGATCTACGAGATTGACCCTCGACTAGCACGACTGAATCCAATTTAAGTACAGAATTTTTATTCTACGTATGAAAACTTTAGCTTGAATTCAATCTAACGATTGGTTTCTAACTGATCACTTCTTAATAACTAATAACTTTTATAACAGCCGTTAATAATCGCCGTTATAAAATCATTGTGCGAAGATACGAAGATTTAACATCAGGCAATTACGTAGATCAATCGTGGACCGTTGTGCTAAGCAAACTGACGATATAAAGCACGCTGGTATATGCGCTAAGTTCGAATCCAGTCTTAAGTTGTTAAGAATACTACTCTAATACTCCGACATCTCGTCCAATTCTAATGAGAATAATACTGACTCGACGTGGCCGCCGTCGCCACGACCATTCGTATTCGCGTCCCCGCGAAGGATCATTAGGCACCCGTCGTAATGATCGATGATTAAACGTAATGGAATATCCGGATGATGACTTGTCATCGTTCGACCGTTCGTTCGTTATTCCATAATGGACGATTCGCCCGTTGGATGTAAGCGCGGAAGTTATTAGCGGACCCCGCCTAATTATACGCGTTTAAGATTCGGAACGCCCGGAGATGATAATTTGTTCACTGACGGTGCAATTTAAGTTACGGTCGACAATTGCAGGACAAAGCTTCTGACATTCTCATCACTTTTTTCTTTTAAAGAGCAATTACTGTAGATTCTATCGTTAATCGTTCGATGCATGTATCGTTATTTTTATGTACTATTAAAGCAACATGGGTCATTAAGTTTTCACAGATAAATGTAAAAAAGAAAGCAAACCTCTCTCTCTCTCTCTCTCTCTCTCTCTCTCTCTCTCTCTC